TAAGACAAAAAGTTACATTGGAAATAAATTTTAGGGGTTGCGTTTTCCACCCCTTACAACCATGGGGTAAACCAAATAAATTACTGGCTAAGTGTCTTTTTGGTAGTACAAAACGTCAGGTTAATTTCAATATTGTAACTTTTTCAGTGCTTGTGAAAACAATTGTTATACAAATTTTAAGGTTTCCTTTTAAGGGGCTGTATCTTAACAAGGGAAGCTCCAATGAAATTTCTTTATATGAAAGATCCTATCTTTTTTTTGATGAGGAATCACCTCCTTAAATGTTTTACACTTATTCAGTTACACCCTGTATAATTCTTTGCGCTTCCCAATTCGATCCACTATTTTGATTTTTTCTGGAATAGTAGAAGTTTTTGTTAAATGTACAAAACTTCATATTTTGAAATACTTTTGACAGTACATATATACTTTTGACAGTACATATACAGTATGATTTGTTTGTTAGGTTCTGAAAATGAAGAGAAAAAAGAAGACGTGAAAGAACCCGTCAATGTGGGCATTGAAAAGATTCGTAAAATCGAAGCATACTATTGCGATCTCTGCAAAATGTATCTACAGCGAGGTGAAGAATCCGAGATGTCCACCATTCTGTCGAAGCACTGCAAGATCAGGGTTCACATGCAGAGATATGTCAGAATGAAGGAACGGCAAGATCTCGAAAAGCGCGCCGAAAAGTTGCAGCGTAAAGAAACTGCGGAGAGGGAAGATAAGGACAAGAAAGACGACAAGGAGAACGAATCAATAGAAGACGCAGAAGCAAAAGATAAGAAAGGTTCCGATTGTTCCGCTAAGATAAACGATGATGAAGAAATGAAGGATGACAAACTGTGGGCGGACGTGGATAAAGACTTGGGGGATATCCTCGCAGAAGCAGAGTCTGGCAATAAGAGTTCAGACGAGGATGACGACTCTCATATCAACGGGGAGCGGTACGATAGGTAATAATTCGGATTGTTGTGTTGAATATTTTTATTATAGGTTTTTGTTTTTTGAAGGTTCAAGTTGAGCGAGAAAAATGGGGACGAGAAATTGATGGGCGCTGATGAGGAGAGTATTTTGGATGACAAGCTGGTCATTAAGGAAACTGAAGAGAAATAATTTTTGTTCCAGTATGTTTTGATTAATGTTGTGAATGGATACTGAATAATAATATTGAACATAATTAGAAAGTAATACATTTTTTATTTTGAAGTTTAAATAGATTCATTTTTAAGTTTTTGAATTTATGATTGAGTGTGAAATTATTGTACAAGTGATAGTGTTTAATTCTGGAAGATTAGTTTATTTTTCTTAAGAACTGCAATTTGAATTTATTACCATATATAAATGGATAACTTTCAATTTAGGGATATGTGTTATATGTAGTATTTAATAAATTACCTATTCCATTATTGACTTTTCATTCAAGTATTGGCAAATTTTATCGAAAATTTCACCAATCGCAGCATCTACAATATTATCGAGAATAAGATTGACAACTCTGAAATTTGATGATCATAATGTTACGCTATTTATCAAATATCACTTGAGATATGGTGTCGCCTCCTGGGGATTTTGTGGCAAACGGTCTCTACAGCTTGCATTTGTTTTCCATAAAAGCAGTAAAATACATCTGTAACTCAAATATTAGGGACCATTGCAAACGACAAATCTTCAAATATACAATAATAAAATTAATGTTATTTAAGTAGGTTAGGCATATCAAAATTACTGAGTATTGATTTGAAATCTCAGNTACTAAAACATTAATGGAACTTGAATAATTATTGTAGGTTAATTAAACCTTTACCTGAAATGAACAAAAACGTTACCTGAATCATCAATACCTTATCTGAGATACCAAAACATTAATGAAAGTTGAATAATTATTGTAGGTTAATTAAATCTGTACCTGAAATGAACAAAGTGTTACCTGAATCATCAATACCTTATCTGAGATACTAAAACATTAATGGAAATTGAATAATTATTGTAGGTTAATTGAACCTGTACCTGAAATGAACAAAAACGTTACCTGATTCATCAATATCTTATCTGAGATACCAAAACAATAATGGAAGTTGAATAATTGTTGTAGGTTAATTAAATCTGTACCTGAAATGAACAGTGTTACCTGAATTATCAGTTCCTTACCTGAGATACCAAAACATTAATGGAAGTTGAATAATTATTGTAGGTTAATTGAACCTGTACCTGAAATGAACATAAACGTTACCTGACTCATCAATACCTTATCTGAGATACCAAAACATTAATGTAAGTCGAATAATTATTGTAGGTAATGAAACCTGTACCTGAATCATCAATACCTCTTACCTTTTAAAGTGTGATTCCTAACACGGAATTTGCAATACCTCAATACCAACGGAAATTGAAATATCATACAAGGTGACACAAGCGTACATATATAATTATTCTGATGGTATGAAATAAAAAATCAAAATAAGGATGTTTGTCTTGACTTTCTCTAGTAGGTATAAGTACCTATGTTCATAAAAGTGGTAAATATCACTAAGAGCGATACACTGCCTTATTTTATTTACTGTTTCCATTCTAGTTCGTCAGAAGACGTGTCACTAACCTTCACATTTCTTACGAATTATTTAATTTGTTGCTCATTTATTTGAGTTCTGAATGACTGAATGAGTTTATTATCCAAAGCCATAATCTCAAACAAATTTATTGTACCATTCCTGTCAACAGTCAGTCGTAAAAAAAGTATAGTACGCACCTCGAGGATAAGGACAATAGGCTTCTTATCCTATTTGTTACGTAATATATTATAAACAATACACTAAAAGTTTCGGTGTATGCCCGAGAAGCAAATACAGTGTTTCGTTTCGCTGGCGCGAGTGGCTAACTTCTTCAGAGGTTTAACCATCACGGCTTGCTGTCCGATGACTACCTTTTAGGCTTCGTAAGGCGTATTTATGCCTTTTCAGGTAATCAGTTGAATTTGTACCTATATTCGTACCTGCACTTGAACCTGGAACATTAACAACCTTGCTGCCTGTTGTCCTATTCGTTATTCTCGAATTCTTTAAAATGGGGTTCAATATTTGATTGAGGTTCACCGCTTCTTCTTTTCTGTTAAAATTATCCGTGTGTTTCTGGATCTCTATTGCCTCCCGTACCAGTCGGCTATGGTATCCCTGGTTGGGGGCAATTAGTTCTGTGTTTTCAAACAAGATTCTGTGGTCTCCTTCACTCAGTGCGTGTTCTGCCACAGCTGACTTGTCTGTTTGGCCTAGTCTGCAGTTCCTTTTATGCTTTTTAGTCTCGTTCCCATGGATCGTTTGGTGGTTCCGATATATACCTTTCCACAAGTGCACGGAATGCGATAGACCCCTGCTGCTGATAATGGGTCTCTTTTGTCTTTAGCCGACCTGAGGCTTTGTTGTATCTTCCTCGCGGGTTTGAAGACTGTTTCGATGTCGTGTTTGCCCAATAGTTTGCCAATTCAAACTCGAAAAGCAATGACAACGAAAATCCTCAGCCGTGAAAGTCTAAACCATTTTGTACATTATATATTTTTTTATCGAGTGTACCTAAAAGGACTGTTATATTGGTTGGAAACGAAATATTCCAATGTGTATACATTTTTCGAATTTACGAATCGAATGGCACCTCAGTCATAATTTTTGATGAGAACATTATGAAATGGCACTTCTGGACTATAAGAAAATTTGACCACTGAATCGGGTGTGAGTTGTACCTACACATGCCTAGTGAATATCAACAAATTAAGTTAAGAAGAAAGACGACTTTGATCGTGGCATGAAATTATGAATGAACGAATGATGGGAAATGGTAACATTCTGTTTACTATGCAAGAAATCGCACGGTACAAGATAAGCTCTCGTTAATCCTTACCTCGTTACAAGTTCTGACCTTTGAGGCTTATCGTTCTCAGCGGACGACAACTAATTAACGTAAAAAGATATTTTATAACACGACAAAGGTTTGAAGATAATCTGTATTATTATATGGAGATTGACATACAACGTTTACAGCATTCACGTGGTTGATACGGCGAATTTTCAAGTAAAATTCTGATTGATTTATGTATTTTTCGCTAAATGCATATGTTCTAAACGGCTGAAATGATTCTCAAAAGCAAGGCAGCAAAGTATAGGAAATAAAAATATTTTCTAAAAGACATAACTCGGTATCACCTAACCATTTAAAACATTTGGAGGATGACAACCACGCTTAGATGTTTCTCCAATTCTTTTGGGTCAAAATTACTCCCTTCCAAACGACTTTTTTTGGGTTTCTGTGAAAAAAGATCTTTGGCAATGTTTTCGATGTAATTAAAAGTGATTTTGAAAGAAACAACTTTGACCAACAAAAATTCTTTTGATTTCAGTTTCACGCAAGGACAGGAGTATGACCTAAACAACAAACGTTTTCCGAAGGATTTTTTGTTTGGGGTAGCCACTTCAGCATATCAAATAGAAGGTAAAACACTCATGCGTACATAACACACATACAGACAGACAACATACACAAAGAAATATACAAATTTTCTGTGTAAAATAAAATAGCGATATTATTTTGATGAAACTGAGAGACACAGCTCTGTCGAAATATAGACACTAGGATTACTTACTACAAACAGTTAAGGAATCTCACTAACAAAACAATAAAGCTTGAAAAAATAGTGTAGGTATTTAGAGTCTCAACTCTGTAACAGAAATAATATCTGGAAGGAATTATTTGATTTTGGTTTGAATTGCAGAAATCCTAGAACATTTAATCAATGAAATGCTGTTGGTTCTGATGGCATGTGCATCTCTGCACATGCCATCAGTTCCGCAATTGTCGAAGTCATCAGGCCGTAGGTCCCATTGGGTCCTAAAATTCTTAGTCCAGCCACTTCCTTAGCTAAAAAGTCGGCAATGCGATTACCTGTACTCCTGTCGTGCCTTTTAATCCACCTCGCCATAGGCTCAGCCTCAATCCCTCAATTGACCCATTACTACTTCGAGGTTTACACAATCGTAACATGACCATTAACGCAACCTCCTCAACGTACAGGTCCAGAGGGGTCAGTCCAGTAATTAATTCCATTGCCGCGGTTGGTGTTGTTCTTATGGCTCCTGTGATGTTTAAACAAGCCAATCGCTGTATTTGATGTGATTTTTGGATTGCCGTTGCTTGTAGAACTTTCGGTCCCATGCAATGGCTTCGTACGTTAACATAGGTCTAATTATTGCAGTGTAGATTCAGGTACACGGGGTGAAAGACTCCATGCGCGTCCCACTGTCCTCCGACATTGCTCATAAGCCACATTTGCTCTTTTTGCTCTACTCTGTAGGTGAGAGTTCCATGTTAGCTTCCTGTCGAGGATAGTACCAATGTATTTCACCTCTTCAGAGAAGTTTAGTTTGCTTTTGAAGATTTCGGGAGGTTTTAAGCCCGATAAACTTCTTTTCCTGGTGAAAAGAACCATCCCAGTCCTCTTGGGATTGATCGACAGTGAGTGTTCCTCACAGCATGTTTCCATTAATTTGAACCCATCCTGCGCTCTATCGCACAGTGTGTTCACAAATTAGCCGGTCTGCGTGATAACTATGTCATCTGCATATGCAATTGCGTAGAATACATTATTGTTGAGGTGAATAATGAGGATATCCAGAACTATGTTCGAAAGAAGGGGTGATAAGACCCCTTCCTGTGGACATCCCATCTTGACCAGTCCTCTATATCATTGTGTTTTTGAAACCTATGAATTGAGAAGAGCAAAGGAAAAGTATAAATTGGTAATGTGAAATGATCTAGAGCAACAAGAAATAAAAAAGAAGAAGAGGGCGAGTTGCTGAAACATATTATTCAACAAGAAACCAGGACTTGATGAGTAGAATTTTGAACCTTTAGTGTGAAATTAATCTATTGAAACACTCAAAAGATAACTCAGTCATTAAAAATATAACTCTGATAACGTAAAATTTATGACGCGCTTGAGATCTAAAATTAATTTCCCAGTATTGCATCAATTGAAACAATTGAACTGGTAAAGCGTATCTTAGACAGAAATTATGTTAGTCTTGTAGTAAAGCAGGAAATTATAAATCTACTACTTACTACTTGTCATCTCAAAATCATTTTCATTTAATGAAAATTTTTACTCATGCAGCGGGGGCTATTAATAGGAAACCCGCTAAAATCAGTTGATTAACAGTTTCTTATACTATTTTTCAGTTCTATTCACCCACCGATTGAATTCACAATTGAACTGGAGGTAATTAATTCAATGGATTCTATTGACCTGACTGTTAGTGCATTAGTGCTTCATACCGGCCATCTTCCATCAAAGTCTGTAAACCTATATTATCTGAAGCGGTATCTTTCAAATCTCGATAGAACAACTTTTAGGTGACAAATATAAATTTATTAGATACGAATTACTATGTGAATATGTTGGTTAAAAGTTGTTTCGTTTCGTTTATCACTGAGAGACTAATGGATAAAGATCTATTATCAATCATATCTATGTGGAAACAACAACTATATACGTTTGTTTGAAAGTGATTGACAATGTTTCATGATAAATTTCATTAGTTTGAACTTCCATGGTATGATGTGATATAAAATAATTTTTAACCCCTAAAAGAACCAAAGAACCAAATGAAAAGTTAAAAACAATAACAATTATATCTAGCAAAAACCCCTGAAATGAAATTATAGTGAAATAAAATATAAGTAAAAATAGAACAATCAAACAAAAAATAAAAACAATAAAAAATAAAAATTAAGAGATTCCAAGCCAAGGTATTTCACGACGTTTCGATTCCTCCAAGAGATCACTATTTATGGGTCATTCGAGTACTTTCACTTGTCTCCTCGTCTCCTCGTTCCTCTCTCCGCTTTCGGCTTCACCGGTTTAGCGGGAGATGACTGTTTGGTGGGAGTGTTCCTCGCTGTGTATGATGTCAGCTTGGGACCACTCGATGTTATGTTGATGGGTCCAAACATGCTCTACTATTCCTGATTAAATGATTTACCCTCGCTGTGCGTGTTTTTTTGTGCTCGGTAATGCGAAATTTCAATGGCCTCATAGTTTCACCAATATAGGATTTTCCGAATTCACAGGTAAATGCAATTTTCGGAATCGCTGTCCGCGTTTGGTGACCTGGTTTTCGTGAGGCTGCTACGGATAGTGTTTCCGGATCTGAAGCAGGTTCTGATGTTGTACATGGACCCAATTCTTTATATTCTTTCCGATAATCCTCTGATGTAGGAAAGTGCAAGCACTGGTTGTGACGGCTTCTCTTCCTTGCGAGGATCTTTCTGTCTTTTAGTCAAACTCTATTCCGCCGTTACTTTGGAGTAGCCATTCCGTTGAACATCATTTTTGATTTTGTCTACTTCCTTCTCGATACCTTCCTCCGTATTACAGAGCCCGAAAGCACGGTCTAATAGAGTCTTGATGATTCATCTTTTAGTCAATTGATGGTGGTTGGATTCGTGTTTCACATAGTGTCCCCTATGAGTGGGTTTTTGATACAAATATGTTTCCGACTTAGTGTTGGTTGGTTCACTAATACGTCTAAGAAATGAAATTCTTTGAGGACTTTCTTCTCCATTGTGAAAGTGATGGATGAAGGTCTAACGGTGTTGATTTGTTTCAGGAAGGCGTCTAGTTCAGTATTCCCAAGGTTCCATATTATCTCAACTAGACTCGAAGTTTCTTGTGGGCTTCTTCAAAGGTCATAGTTTCAAACCACTCCATATATATGTTAGCTATAACTGTTGAATGTGGCGATCCCATTGGCAGTCCCTTATCTAGTATAAAGAATTCGCTCTTCAGTTGGAAATAACAGTTTCGTACACAGCATCCTAGTAATTCCATAATTACTTCTATAGGTTAGTTCATTCTATCTTTCAGGTCCCCGTCTTCGGATAGCTTCCTTTGTATGATTTGGAGTGCTTCTTTGACCGGAACTTGCTCTGCAACTATCAGTTTCGACGTGGAAAGCCTTTACATCAATGTTTCGGTTGAAGAAGTACTTAAAATTTTACAAAGGAAGCTATCTGAAGACGGGGACTTGGAAGATAGAACGAACTTACCTATACAAGTAATTATGGAATTACTGGGATGCTGTGTACGAAACTGTTATTTCCAACTGAAGGACGAATTCTTTACACAAGATGGTGGACTGCCAATGGGATCGTCAGTTTCACCAGTTATAGCCAACATATATATGGAGTGGTTTGAAACTCTGGCCGTTGGAGAAGCCCACAAGAAATATTGAGTCTGGTTGAGATCTGTTGGCGACGCCTTTATAATATCGAACCATGGGAATACTGAACCTTCCTAAAACACATCAATAGAGTAAGATCCTCCATCACTTTCACAGGGGACAAGGAAGTCCACAACCAATTGCCATTCTTAGACGTATTGGCGAAGAGGCCCGATACTAAGTGGGAAACATATGTATACCGAAAATCCACTCGCACGGGACAGTATCTGAACTACGAATCCAACCACCATCAATCGACTAAAAGAGGAATCACCAAGATTCTCTTAGAATGTGCTTTCGGGCTCTGTAATATGAAGGAAGGTCTCGAGAAGGAACTGGACAACATCAAAAATGATCTTCAACGGAATGGCTACTCCAAAGGGACGGCGGAATAGAGTTTGACTAAAAGACAGAAAGAGCCTCGCAAGGAAGAGAAGCCGTCACAACCAGTGCTTGCACTTCCCTATATCATAGGATTATCGGAAAGGATAAGAAGAATTGGGTCCAAATGAAATATCAGAACCTGCTTCAAATCCGGAAACACTATTCGTAACAGCCTCACGAAAACCAGGCCACCAAACGCGGACTGCGATTCCAAGAATTTCATTTACCCGGATACCCTGTGAAAGCGGAAAATAATATATCGGTGAAATTGAGAGGCCATTGAAAGTTCGCATTGCCGAGCACAAGAAATAGACACAGCGAGGGGAAACCAGCAAATCACAATTGGCAGAGCATGTTTGGACCGTTCAAAATGACATCGAGTGGTCTCAAGCCGAGATCATAGACAGAGAGGAAAACTGGTTCAAAAGGAAGTTCAAAGAAACTGCATATATGTTGGCCAACGACTCATTTAGCCAAGCTAGCGTAGAGATACGCAACATATGGAAACATGTAATCAAGTGGGAAAACGACCAACTTCCACTAAACGGCCAATCTCACTAAATCGGTGAAGAGGAGAAAGGGAAGAGGGGATAGGTGAAAGCGCTCGATGACAAATAAATATTCATCTTTCGGAGGAATAGTCCAGTCATCACCCGAAGATGATTGTTGATACTAACAATAGAAACGTCGTGAAAAAACTCATTTTGAAATCTTTTTGTTGATAATTTGCTTATTTTTATCCTTTTTCATTTATTTTTACTCTGTGGTGATTTCCAGTTTTCATCTTGACTGTTTTATTCGTTGTATTGTATTTTCATTTCACGTTTTATTGTTTAATAAAATTGAAATCTCAGCTATTCATTCTAATTTTATTTGTTCTTTCATAGATTCAGTATCATATTAGAATCATATTAGACAACGGAACTGAACTAGTAAAATTCACCATGGAACATTGTCAACAACTTTCAAACAAACAACTGTTAAATTATGAATTTGCTTATGTGTGATCGACTACGAAGGTAGCGATATATGAATCTGTCAAATATGATTGCTTCAGAGGTGTGAATAAGAAACGATCACATAATTGACGCTTTTACCAATGATCATAGAAAAACATATGAAGTTCAAAATATACTTTACTTTTCAGGTGGTTGGAATGAAGATGGCAAAGGTCTATGTTTGTGGGACAACTATACCCACAACCAACCAGATCGAATTCTCGATGGCAGTAATGGAAACATAGCTTGTGATTCCTATCACAAATACAAGGAAGATGTCTCCATGCTGAAGACGATTGGTGTCAACCTGTACCGATTTTCAATTTCCTGGTCTAGGATCCTCCCCAACGGTAAGAAAATCAGTTATTTTTAGTGATGATTGACAAGTATTGTCTGTGGTCAATGTGAAGTGGTGAAAATAATGATTATTATAGAATGAAGGGTCAGATACCTTTCAGCAAGAATTTTGAAAGTGAATGTTATCGATTCTAAAACCGAAACAATTGGGGATTATTTCATTGTTGTGACCTATTGTAGAAAAAAACTGTTTGATTGTGAATGAAAATATTTTCAATTTTGTCTTTAGGATAGTCAAGGTTTGTTGACTAGCTTACAATTCCTATTCAACAGTAACATAATTGAAAACTCTACAAATGTCAGATTTTCAGGATTATATGTTGTTGACTGAAATATGAGGTGTGGAACGAATATAAATAGTAGATATTACGTCATTCATAAACTCGAAAGCATATTCAATACACAACTCCTAAATGTATATTATGCTTTGATATATTCACAAATTTCATATCATATTGTGTGAGGCAATACAAATTATGCCAAGTGATTATTCACCACACAAAAAAATCAGACTAATATTTGGTCTCCGCCAGAAAGACTCATGTTGATAGGCCGTTTAATATCTGGTCCAACGAAAACACCTTCCTTCAACTTTGCCTCTGAGAGGTCTGGTAACTTTGGCCTGGTATTTGAAGTGATTTACATCTCTTAAAGTGACCTAACAAATTGCTTCATCAATCCCAGCTTTATGTGAAGCGGTGGTAAAAGGACTTTATGAAGAGGCACCAAAGTTTTAGGCAGCAGGACGATCTTTTCGCCAATGTGGAACTCACTCGAAGGCCAACAGTTTTTGGTTCAGTTATTTGGTTGGTCTCTATTATCCCACAGACCCTAACCTAACCTAACCTAACGTAACGTAACCTAACCTAACGTTGAACAGTGCTTCATTAACACGATCATTGCCAAATACCTGGTTCATTTTTTGGTCTGTTTCGGCAGCGCTTCGGTTCCATTTGAATTAATAAAGAAAAAGAACTTTATGAGGAGGCACCAAGTTTCATGCCGGTCGTTCTTTTTGTCAACGTGAAGCTCCCTCGGAGGCCAACACTTTTTGGTCCAGTAATTTGCTCGGACTGTAACATCCCACAGACATAAAAAATAAACCTAACCTAACCTAACATAACTCAACCTAATCTAACCTAATGTGACATGACCTGACATGACCTGACCGGACCTGACCTAACCTAACCTAACCTAACCTGACCTAACATAACCTAACGTATCCTAACCTAACCTAACCGAACATAACCTAACTTTTTTTTTAATACAGGAGGAAAATCTTCCAAAGACATAGTGTCAAAATCACCGCTCGCATACCGACTAAAAACCTCCCCCCTTTTGCCCTATTGATCAGCCCGGTATCATCCTCATCGGACCTTCATCAAGCTGATCAGGCATTCGCTGTCTGCCTGTTTGTCTAGTTATTCAGATCTTGATTCAATCTTTCTTTGGATTCTTTCATGGACATGACCGACCTGATGAAATCTAGAGTCGTCTTCCATTTATTCCGGTCCTCGCACATCACTCTAGTTAGGTTCTTAGCCATCAACCGTTCTTCCAGTCTCCTTTCAGCGAGTTGCCTCTCACGAACCCACCTGCCACACACCAGCACCGTGTGTTCAGGAGTATCTGTCTCCCCGCAGTACACGCATCGGTCGTTGGCGCTCTTTTCAATATATAGGACCGAAAAGACCCATGCCCGGTCAAGAATTGTGTCAGCCAATAATCCACACTCCTGAACCCACACGTGACCCAAGGCTGGAGGTTTGGGATCAAGCTCTTAGTCCATTGCGCGGTATCCGTGTGTTGCTCCCACCTAGCCTGCCATTTCAGCATGGTTGCCTGTCTCGCCTCCAACTTGTACGTACCATTATTGAAGATATCTGCTCTTTCCTGGACTAGGAGATCCAGAAGAATGACTCCTGTTATCACGTACAATCCTTCAGTCGCAGCTGTCCGATACGCGCTGGCGATCCGAAGCAGCATCTGCCGTTGGATCTTAGTGACCAACTTTTGTACAGGTCCACGCGCATGGCTCCGTGCCAGATGGGAGCCCCATACGTGAGGACCGACTGGGCTACTCCGTTGAGAACGTTTCTCCGTTGGCTCTTCAGGCCCTTGATATTCGGCATTATCCGCCCCAGTGCCGCAATTAGAATTTCGGCTTTCCTAAGTACCTCTCTAACGTGGTGTCCGAAATAACATTTATCATCGATCCAGATACCTAGGTATTTTATGTGCCTGGTCGGATACACATCCCTCCCCTGACGGTAAAGCTTATTCCATCCCTTCTCCTAGGTCCCATCATGATGACTGTCTCTGTTTTCTCTGTGCCAGCTTCAGTCGTCTCTCCGAAACCCAAATAGTTATTCTGCTTATTGCCTCGTTTCCTCTTTCCATCAGGCGGTAGCTGTCCGCTGCCTTGACCACCAGAACGAGGTCATCTGCATACACTGCGGTGTAGCACCCTGCCTGCTCTCACCCTAAGTACGCCGTCATACAGAACGTTCCATAGACACGGTTTGAGAATCGAGCCCTGGGGAACCCTCTGAGTCAGGCACAGCCTCCTCCTGCCGATAGAGACCTCCCTATCGTTGAAATAGCTCTCCACGACGTTGGTTAAATACCTGCTCCTTAACGAGGACAGAACCCAGCTCCACACCGCCGTGTTAAATGCGTTCTTAATATCAAAGGCGATTACTGCCGCCCACTTCCCTTAGCCTCCAGTGGCAGTGTCTATCACCCAGCTAGCAGCTTGTATCGTTGATAAGTGGTTCTCGGCTAACCCCCCAAGTTTGCCACTTAACCCCGACACCTTTTTTTTGAGCGATGAGTGTATCCAAGTCTCTTGGACCCAACCTAACCTAACCTAATTTAACCTAACCAACCTAACCTAACCTGACCTGACCAGACCCGACCTGATCGGACCGGACTTGACCAGACCTGACCTAACCCTACCTTTTCTGACCTGACTTGACTTGAGCCGAGCCGAGCCGAGCCGAGCCGAGCCGAGCCGAGCCGAATTGATAGGCCGTTTAATATCTGGTCCAACGAAAACACCTTCCTTCAACTTTGCCTCTGAGAGATCTGGTAACTTTGGCCTGGTATTTGAAGTGATTTCCATCTCTTGAAGTGACCTAACAAATTGCTTCATCAATCCCAGCTTTATGTGAAGCGGTGGTAGAAGAACTTTATGAAGAGGCACTAAAGTTTCATGCAAGACGATCTTTTCGCCAATGTGGAGCTCACTCGGAGGCCAACAGTTTTTGGTTCAGTGATTTGATTGATCTCTATTATCCCACAGACCCTAACATAACCTAACGTAACGTAACCTAACGTAATGTAACCTAAACTAACGTTCGAACAGTGCGTTCATTAACATTATCATTGTCAAATACCTGGTCCATTTTTCGGGCTGTTTCGGCAGCGCTTCGGTTCCATTTGAATTCATAAAGAAAAATAACTTTATGAGGAGGCACCAAGTTTCATGCCGGTCGTTCTTTTTGCCAACGTGAAGCTCCCTCGGAGGCCAACACTTTTTGGTCCAGTAATTTGCTCGGACTGTAACATCCCACAGACACAAAAAACTAACCTAACCTAACCTAACCCAACCTCACCCAACCTAACCTAACCAACCTAACCTGACCTGATCTGACGTGAGCTGACCTGACCTGACATGACGTGACGTGACCTAACCTGACCTAACCTAACCTAACCTGACTTAACCTAACCTAACGTATCATAACCTAACCGAACCGAAACTAACCTAATCTAACCGAACCTAACCTAACCTAACCATTTTTTTTAATGGAGGAGGAAAATCTTCCAAAGACATAGTGTCGGATTCAAGAGTGACAAAATCACCGCTCGCCTACCGACTAAAAACCTCCCCCCTTTTGCCCTATTGATCAGCCCGGTATCATCCTCATCAGACATCCATCAAGTTACTCAGGCATTCGCTGTTTGCCTATTCATCTGGTTATTCAGACCTTGATTCAATCTTTCTTCGGATTCCTTCATGGACATGACCGACCTGATGAAATCTTGAGTCGTCTTCCATTTATTCCGGTCCTCGCACATCACTCTAGTTAGGTTCTTAGCCGTCAACCGTTCTTCCAGTCTCCTTTCAGCGAGTTGCCTCTCACGAACCCACCTGCCACACACCAGCACCGTGTGTTCAGGAGTATCTGTCTCCCCGCAGTACACGCATCGGTCGTTGGCGCTCTTTCCAATATATAGGACCGAAAAGACCGATGCCCGGTCAAGAATTGTGTCAGCCAATAATCCACACTCCTGAACCCACACGTGACCCAAGGCTCGAGGTTTGGGATCAAGCTCTTAGTCCATTGCGCGGTATCCGTGTGTTGCTCCCACCTAGCCTGCCATTTCAGCATGGTTGCCTGTCTCGCCTCCAACTTGTACGTACCGTTATTGAAGATATCTGCTCTTTCCTGGACTAGGAGATCCAGAAGAATGACTCCTGTTATCACGTACAATCCTTCAGTCGCAGCTGTCCGATACGCGCTGGCGATCCGAAGCAGCATCTGCCGTTGGATCTTAGTGACCAACTTTTGTACAGGTCCACGCGCATGGCTCCATGCCAGATGGGAGTTCCATACGTGAGGACCGACTGGGCTACTCCGTTGAGAACGTTTCTCCGTTGGCTCTTCAGGTCCTTGATATTCGGCATTATCCTAAGTACCTTTCCTAAGTACCTCTTTAACGTGGTGTCCGAAATAACATTTATCATCGATCCAGATACCTAGGTATTTTATGTGCCTGGTCGGATGCACATCCCTCCCCTGACGGTAAAGCTTATTCCATCCCTTCTCCTATGTCCAATCACGATGACTGTCTCTGTTTTCTCTGTGCCAGCTTCAGTCGTCTCTCCGAAACCCAAATAGTTATCCTGCTTATTGCCTCGTTTCCTCTTTCCATCAGGCGGTAGCTGTCCGCTGCCTTGACCACCAGAACGAGGTCGTCTGCATACACTGCGGTGTAGCACCCTGCCGGCTCTCACCGCCGTGTTAAATGCGTTCTTAATATCAAAGGCGATTACTGCCGCCCACTTCCCTTAGCCTCCAGTGGCAGTGTCTATCATCCAGCTAGCAGCTTGTATCGTTGATAAGTGGTTCTCGGCTAACCCCCCAAGTTTGCCACTTAACCCCGACACCTTTTTTTTGAGCGATGAGTGTATCCAAGTCTCTTGGACCCAACCTAACCTAACCTAATTTAACCTAACCAACCTAACCTAACCTGACCTGACCAGACCCGACCTGATCGGACCGGACTTGACCAGACCTGACCTAACCCTACCTTTTCTGACCTGACTTGACTTGAGCCGAGCCGAGCCGAGCCGAGCCGAGCCGAGCCGAGCCGACCTGAGCCGAGCCGACCTGAGCCGAGCCGACCTGACCTGACCTGACCTGACCTGACCTGACCTGACCTGACCTGACCTGACCTGACCTGACCTGACCTGACCTGACCTGACCTGCCCTGACCTGACCTGACCTGACCTGCCCTGACCTGACCTGACCTGACCTGCCTTACCTGACCTAACCTAACCTAACCTAACATAACCTAACTTAACGTCGAACAGTTCATTCATTAACACTATTATTGCCAAATGCCTGGTTCATTTTTGTGGCTGTTTCGGCAGCGCTCCGGTTCCATTTGAATTCATAAAGGAAATTGGCCGAAAATCGTTCAGCGACGTCATATGGTAATAATCTGATGCTATAAAAGTATGTATTTGTAAAAATTTTCCACAAACGTGTTTCAAGTCTGCAACAAAAAACTCTCTTGATGTTTCCAACTGATCTGCAACAAAAAAACTGTCAGGAAGGGCTTACCGGCTAACTCCATTGTTTTTTTCTAAGGTCTCGCCAATAACATCAATGAGAAGGGCGTGCAGTATTATAAAAACCTCCTCAGCGAACTCAAGGCCAATGGTATAGAACCGTTTGTCACTCTCTACCACAATGATTTACCGCTAGCACTTGAAGAAATGGGGGGTTTCCTCAATGAATCCTTCCCAGACTGGTTCGCAGACTATGCTAGAGTGTGCTTCGATCGATTTGGTGACGATGTTAATTTATGGGGAACCTTCAACGAACCATCCCTTACATGTCCTGGAGGTTACGGAAGAGGTGACACAGCTCCCGAAGTTAAGTATTCAGGATTTGGAGAATATATATGCGGGCACCACGTTATTAAGGCACATGCAAAGGCGTATCACATTTATGATGAGGAATTTAGGAGTCAACAGAATGGTAAGATTTCTTATATATTTCTTATATAATAATAATAATGTTTATTCATCA